ATTGTAAAACGCAAGCAACCAGAAGTCATTTGTTTTTAATGAGACCTGATCCAGAGACCAGCAGCACAGATGAGATGAGCTCCAGTGGTTTCAGCCATGTGTGAACACCTTTCGTTTGTAGAGCTGGAAAATCTAAATTGAATCAGCTTGCTCGTCCAGTTTTTGCGAATGAATGGTTCACAAAAAATGTCAGGTTTCAAAACTTCAAAGACTCCAGTCCCTTGATTTTAGGTTTTGTTAAATACTGCATTTTTTATTATTATTTCATGTCATTATATGTATTACATTAGGTTGTACTGTAGTTTTATGTAGCGTAAAAAATTCAGGAATACACTCAAAAATACATTTGATCAAAAATACAGTAAAAACACTATATTGTAAAATATTATTACAATTTAAAAGAACTGTTTTCTATTTTACAATATTTAATTTTTGTATTCTTTATATATATTTATGATTGAAAATGGTTGCTAAGTATGCAAATCAATTAAAAATAGTTCAGATGAGCTCTTATTTACATGTCAGTTACTCAAATAGAGTTTCCCTACATGTGGAAAGGGGATGTTTTCAAATTTAGACATGTCCTTTCACATAATGAAGCACCTTTGCTGTGTGGATTTAAAAACAAGCAGGTTGTTCAATAATAATTGGATTTTGCTTTGAAGCTAATGTGCGGTTTGTTGACATAGCTCCAATACTTCTAATTTTCCCCCATTATATTCATTCTTTGGGAAAGTCTTGTGCTCAAGCAAGGGTTGTAAGTGAAGGTGACCTGTTGTACTGGAAGCATAGGAACGGTTCCTTGAGGAAAGGTAGAGACTGAGGGAGATATAGTAGAGATGAAGAGCATGGTTGTCTGGATACTGCTGGATGCTAAGCCGCAGTACAACGGCCCACTTCAAGCTCATTGTGTACACAGCTGAGGAGAGAAGAACAATTGTGTGAAATTGGTTGCGTCAATTGAATCAAGTGATGATGCTATTCTGGGCCATCTTCCATATATCTGCCTCCACTTGGATGAAAACAGAAAATAAAAAAAGTGTTTGCATAACTTAAGCCGTAGACTTCACAGCCATAAATAACACAAAATGTGTCTTTCTGCATGTTTGCTGGGAAACATATTGTAACTAATGTGAGCTTTGATATGCATTAGCTTTCTGTAATTAGTTCCCATATATTATTTGTCTTAATATGATTACAGAATAATTGTAGCGCTGTAATAATTACCGCTTTGTATATAAGAATGTGCTAAGGGGAAAACAAAAACGAGCTTTAATTACATTACGTGTTTGTTTTTAGCAGACACTTTAATCTGTTTCACTCTCAACTGATACTAAGTGTACAATTTATGTTAAAGTCAAAATTAAATAAAAATGTATTTACTTTCTTAAGTGCATTATTTATTTATTAAAGAAGCGTTGTCTTTGTAAACGTTTAGCAATTTGCGCTGCCCCTGAAACGATTTAGTTTACACACACACATATACAGTATAAATCATATATATATATATATATATGTATGTATACAGTATATAATTCATAAGTACATTCATATTTTCATTTTAATTTAAGTTTGTTTTTAGTAATTTTGTTATGTGATTTTGTCATTTTTATTTGTTCATATATATATATATATATATTTTTTTTTTTTTTTTTTTTTTTTTCTATTTAGCTTTTTCTTGTTTTAGTGATTTTAGTACTTCAAAGCAAACAAATTTGAGAGTTAGTTAACAATAACAACACTGTTTAGGTAATTGAATCTGTTGTGTTGCTAGTTATATAGTTTAATCTGTATTTCATACAGTAAATATTATATATTAATATTATACATTGAGCATATAACACTGAACTTGCACATTGTTTGAAGGAAAGCATTTGGCTATGGAAGCCCGTTTCCGCCACTGAATAAAAAATAATAAAGCTAACTGTGACTTTTTATCTCACAATTCTGACTTTTTTTTCTCAGAATTGCGTGATATAAACTCGCAATTGTGAGTTAAAAAGTAATAATTGCGAGACATAAAGTCGCAATTCTGAGAAATAAAGTGACTAAAAATAAAATGACTTTTTTTTCTCAGAATTGTGAGTTTATTTCTTGCAATTCTGACTTTATAACTCGCAACTGTGAGTTTATGTCACGCAATTTTGAGAAAAAAGTCATAATTGTGAGATTAAAAAGTCGCAATAACCTTTTTAAATTTTTTATTCAGTGGTGAAAATGGATGTCCATTTAGCTGTTATCTGATTCATCGAATACTTTTTGCCCGTTTGCCCTATAGCAATTTCTAAGACTGAGAGCCAAGAATACACAACAATCAAAATACCAAAAAGAAACAACTACTCAAATATTAGGCTAAATGCTTGTGGAATATACAGATGGAACAGACTGGAAAGGTGAGATGCACTTCAGTGATGCCTCGTATATATTCAGGGATGTAATGAGAGCATCATATTCCACTAGTCAGTCATGGGAATTGTAGGCAACAGTATGAGAATATATGGACATTGCAAATGTTGTAATCACTGTACATAATTGCTGTATGAATTGCACACAGTGGATAAAGCAGTGACTACTAAACATTAAAGCTATTATAGATGTGGGCTGAATGTAGAGTTGGCCGTGTAAACTAATTCCTCTGATGCTTTACAGGAGCTGACGTGAGGGACCACAGCGATCGCTCAGGGTGATGACGGTGCCCTCGGCACATGAGTTTCATTGGCAGAGCCTGGCGTGTCTTTCCAGTGCCCGCGTGTATCACTCATTGGCTGATGTCGGGGGGCATTTGTATATGGTGGGGGGTTGCGATGCCTCTGGTCGACCCACCAGCGCTCTTGATCTCTACTCCCCTGAGGTGGACCGCTGGCTCAGTCTTCCTCCGATGCCCACGCCGAGAGCCGGTGCAGCGGTGGCTGTCTTAGGCAAGCAGCTGCTGGTGGTCGGGGGAATGGGGAAGGACCAGCGCCCCCTGAAGGCCGTGGAGGTATACAGCACAGAAGAAGGCAAGTGGAGGAAGAGGTGCTCGCTCAGAGAGGCGTCCATGGGGCTTTCTGTCACTGTTAAAGGTAGAAAAACCTTGTTTTATAATCAATTTTATATTCGTTACAAATATAGTTTGATGTATTTGCAAGTCAAATATATTTCATTATTCAATGAAAAAAATACAAGGCCTTTGATTTTGTTCATGTAAATTGAAAAATAATAATAATTTAATATATGTATGTAATGTAAAATTGTGCATAATAAAATTAGGAATGTGGATTAAAGACTGAAATAAACAGTTTTTGACTTCTTTGAATAGTGAGAAGTGTCTATATTACAAGTTGAAGAGAAAGAACTGAAAACATAAAAAATTCTGATTAAATATTATGAAGATTAATCTTAATATTACAATAATACTTATGAAATGTTGTATATACACTACCAGTCAAACGTTTGGAATAAGTAAGATTTTTGTCCAAGTAAACGGATGAAAAATAATAATTGATGGTGGATTAAAGACTGAAATAAACAGTTTTTGACTTCTTTGAATAGTGAGAAGTGTCTATATTACAAGTTGAAGAGAAAGAACTGAAAACATAAAAAATTCTGATTAAATATTATGAAGATTAATCTTAATATTACAATAATACTTATGAAATGTTGTATATACACTACCAGTCAAAAGTTTGGAATAAGTAAGATTTTTGTCCAAGTAAACGGATGAGAAATAATAATTGATGAAAATACAGTAAAAACAGTAATATTGTGAAATATTATTACAATTTAAAAGAAATGTTTTCTATTTTAATATAATTTAAATTTGAATTTATTCCTGTGATGGCAAAAATTAACATAAGCGCATAAGAGACTTCTTTTAAAAAAAAATCTTACATCTATATGTGTGTGTGTGTGTATATAGATAGATAGATAGATAGATAGATAGATAGATAGATAGATAGATAGATAGATAGATAGATAGATAGATAGATAGATAGAATATATTTTTTTTTTTTTTTTCTATTTAGCTTTTTCTTGTTTTAGTGATTTTAGTACTTCAAAGCAAACAAATTTGAGAGTTAGTTAACAATAACAACACTGTTTAGGTAATTGAATCTGTTGTGTTGCTAGTTATATAGTTTAATCTGTATTTCATACAGTAAATATTATATATTAATATTATACATTGAGCATATAACACTGAACTTGCACATTGTTTGAAGGAAAGCATTTGGCTATGGAAGCCCGTTTCCGCCACTGAATAAAAAATAATAAAGCTAACTGTGACTTTTTATCTCACAATTCTGACTTTTTTTTCTCAGAATTGCGTGATATAAACTCGCAATTGTGAGTTAAAAAGTAATAATTGCGAGACATAAAGTCGCAATTCTGAGAAATAAAGTGACTAAAAATAAAATGACTTTTTTTTCTCAGAATTGTGAGTTTATTTCTTGCAATTCTGACTTTATAACTCGCAACTGTGAGTTTATGTCACGCAATTTTGAGAAAAAAGTCATAATTGTGAGATTAAAAAGTCGCAATAACCTTTTTACATTTTTTATTCAGTGGTGAAAATGGATGTCCACTTAGCTGTTATCTGATTCATCGAATACTTTTTGCCCGTTTGCCCTATAGCAATTTCTAAGACTGAGAGCCAAGAATACACAACAATCAAAATACCAAAAAGAAACAACTACTCAAATATTAGGCTAAATGCTTGTGGAATATACAGATGGAACAGACTGGAAAGGTGAGATGCACTTCAGTGATGCCTCGTATATATTCAGGGATGTAATGAGAGCATCATATTCCACTAGTCAGTCATGGGAATTGTAGGCAACAGTATGAGAATATATGGACATTGCAAATGTTGTAATCACTGTACATAATTGCTGTATGAATTGCACACAGTGGATAAAGCAGTGACTACTAAACATTAAAGCTATTATAGATGTGGGCTGAATGTAGAGTTGGCCGTGTAAACTAATTCCTCTGATGCTTTACAGGAGCTGACGTGAGGGACCACAGCGATCGCTCAGGGTGATGACGGTGCCCTCGGCACATGAGTTTCATTGGCAGAGCCTGGCGTGTCTTTCCAGTGCCCGCGTGTATCACTCATTGGCTGATGTCGGGGGGCATTTGTATATGGTGGGGGGTTGCGATGCCTCTGGTCGACCCACCAGCGCTCTTGATCTCTACTCCCCTGAGGTGGACCGCTGGCTCAGTCTTCCTCCGATGCCCACGCCGAGAGCCGGTGCAGCGGTGGCTGTCTTAGGCAAGCAGCTGCTGGTGGTCGGGGGAATGGGGAAGGACCAGCGCCCCCTGAAGGCCGTGGAGGTATACAGCACAGAAGAAGGCAAGTGGAGGAAGAGGTGCTCGCTCAGAGAGGCGTCCATGGGGCTTTCTGTCACTGTTAAAGGTAGAAAAACCTTGTTTTATAATCAATTTTATATTCGTTACAAATATAGTTTGATGTATTTGCAAGTCAAATATATTTCATTATTCAATGAAAAAAATACAAGGCCTTTGATTTTGTTCATGTAAATTGAAAAATAATAATAATTTAATATATGTATGTAATGTAAAATTGTGCATAATAAAATTAGGAATGTGGATTAAAGACTGAAATAAACAGTTTTTGACTTCTTTGAATAGTGAGAAGTGTCTATATTACAAGTTGAAGAGAAAGAACTGAAAACATAAAAAATTCTGATTAAATATTATGAAGATTAATCTTAATATTACAATAATACTTATGAAATGTTGTATATACACTACCAGTCAAAAGTTTGGAATAAGTAAGATTTTTGTCCAAGTAAACGGATGAGAAATAATAATTGATGAAAATACAGTAAAAACAGTAATATTGTGAAATATTATTACAATTTAAAAGAAATGTTTTCTATTTTAATATAATTTAAATTTGAATTTATTCCTGTGATGGCAAAAATTAACATAAGCGCATAAGAGACTTCTTTAAAAAAAAATCTTACATCCATCTATATGTGTGTGTGTGTGTATATAGATAGATAGATAGATAGATAGATAGATAGATAGATAGATAGATAGATAGATAGATAGATAGATAGATAGATAGATAGATAGATAGATAGATAGATAGGTGTATGTTGAAATTAAATATTTTGAAGATAAATATAAATATTAAAATAATACACTGTAAAAAATGATTTTTCAAAGTTATAAATAAAACAAAGTTTTTTGTATAATTCAGTATATTAATTGTTGTTTCTTTGTAGTTATTTGTAAAGTTTACTAGCAATTTATGAGTGAAAATTGTTTCAAATAAAATCCTACACTTTTTCAGTGTATAAAATATATATGTATTTTTGAATAATGTGTAAATGACTAATGACTACTAATGAATTATGCACAATAAAAAAAAACAATAATGTGTATTAAATCGTTTTATTTCATGTTGATTTTCAACAAAAAAAACACTTTAACAGTCATCTCTTTTCAGTGGCACTTCTGTCAGCACGTGAAATGTAAAGCATGTATTCATTGTTTACTGAGTATTTGACATTGTAGGGTGAGAGATTGTTTTGTTCAAGAGTTCTTTGTTCAAAATAAAGACCTTCATTTGACTCTCTTCACCTCTGTTCAGACGGCAGAGCTCTTGCTGTTGGGGGAATGGGAGCAGACCTCCTGCCTAGAAGTGTTCTCCAGCAGTACGACCTTCGCAAGGACGTGTGGGCGCTCCTTCCGCCCATGCCCACCCCGCGCTACGATACCAGCATCTGCCTACTGGGCTCCAAAATCTACGTGGCAGGTTTGCTGAGCAGAGAGAGTCCTTGTGTATCTGTAATCTCCTTGTGCATTAAATACTCTGTGTGTATGTGTGTAACTGACCTTGCTGTACTTTTAGGGACAAAATTGCTGAAAACAATGTCCCATGAAGTTAGCTAAATCTGAACAAATAAATAAATAACAGGGTTTCTGCAGGTCTTGAACAGGTTTTCAGAAGTCCGAATTGACCATTTTACAAATGAAGGCCTTAAAAAGGTCTTAAACCGGAGCAGAAAGTCTTAAATTCATAAAGTTGTAGCATTCGATGAAATCTTCCTCTGCATTTTTGTCTTGTTTTCCAGTACAATAATCGACATACTTGAGAAAATTAAGATATTAGGTCTTGTTTTCTGAGAAACTGAACAAAATTATGTGAGTTTATTCTTCAAACAAGAACAAATATCTGCCAATTGAGTACAAAAACTTGTTTTCCCTTTGGATTTGTTTAAGATCACTGGCAGATGTTTGTTCTTGCTTTAATAAGTTTCTCTGAAAACAAGACTTCTTATTTTATGCCATTTTTATTTCCATTTAAAATCTTTAGGCATTTGCACTGGGGAAAAAACACACAAATACTATGAAAAAGCATCATGCAGTGTGATCAGAAGGTGCAATAAAAGATACGTCCATATTCTAGTTAAGCATTGTTTTGTAGTATTTTTTGTAAAACTGTTTCTAATACGACTCATTGTTCGACATCTACATTTAGAGCACATATTGATGTATTGTGTTCCTTAAAATTTCTTTACTTGGTTTTAAAAAGGTCTTTAAACTGTTTTAAATGTACCTTTAAAAAATCTACAGGAACCCTGACATAAATAAAACTCCAAATGATATTCAAAGAGATGATTGTTTTATAGATATTTGGTGCTTCCAATGCAAAAATGACCAATCACCATCAATATCTCTGTTCCATCAGGTGGACGTCAGTGTAAGCGTTTGGTGAAGGCGTTTGAAGTCTTTGACATTGAAAGCCGCACCTGGTCTTCTCTACCCAGCCTGCTCTGCAAGAGATCTTATTCTGGGGTCTTATGGGACAACGCCGGGCGTCTCTGCTGGTTAGGAGGGCTCAGACAAGGCGGAATACACCAAAGTTCAAAGTTTACCAAGAATGTTAACATCTTCGACACCAACCAAGGTAAATTAGCTAGACGTACCAACAGTATGAAAGCACGTCTCTCATATTTACATCCAAATGGCAATGAATTCACATAGAACAGAACTGAAGCTATAAGATGCTTAAATTGCCTGTATTCAGTCAGATTTTATTTTAAGAAATATTTTTATTCAGCAGGGATGCATTAAATTGATCAAAAGCAATAAAGACATTTATAATGTGATAAAAGTTTTCTATTTCAAATAAATGATATTCTTTTGAGGTTTATATTCATCAAAGAATCCTGAAAACAAATGCAGCACATTTTTCATAACAAATATTAAGCAGCACAACTGTTTTCAGCATTGATAGTAATCAGAAATGTTTCTTGAGCAGCAAATCGGCATATTAGAATGATTTCTGAAGGATCATGTGACACTGAAGACTGGAGCAATGATGCTGAAAATTCAGCTTTGAATCACAGGTATAAATTGCATTTTAAAATATATTGCAATTAAAAAAAAATGTAATTTCACAATAGTGCTGTTTTTGACTGTATTATTGATTAAATAAATGTAGCATTGGTGAGCATAAGAGACTTCTTTCAAAAAAAAATTTTTTTTTTACTTATTAACCTCAAACTTCTGAATGGTATTGTGTGTTACTTCATAAAAGGCTAGACTGCAAAAGATTGTGTTGATAAGTAGTGTATTTTATCCACATTGCCTGTTGAAAAAGATGAAAAAACAGCTGAAAAGAGGCCAAAACCCCTTTAAAATCAACGTCCTAGACCAACTTAAACAGTCCCGGAAACTAATAGTACCATCTTAGGCTGGTTTAATATGTTTTTTCGATGCATTGCAAAAATAGGCTTAGTGCTGAAACTGTGAATACTGTAACTTGTGAATATAGGCACCAAATTAAATAAGCGCTGCTTGTGCATGTGGCATGAAACAAGCCTTAGTTTTAATCTGTGAAATCTCCAAGAAAAAAAAATGTTTTAGCTGTTGAATGCATTTCAGCAAAAAATGTTTCAACGCACAAATATATTAGTAATCTCGGTAACCATTCCCTTTTTTATTAGATTTTTTTTTCTCGGATTAACCCAAAAAAGGGGACGGAAAGATACAAGGTGTGACAAAACGTAAAACCTGCTGAAATGAGTTATTGATTTCTCTCCAGCTTCTCACGCTTTTTCTTCCTCTACATCTTTTCTAATCAGATTCAGCAGATGGGAAAATTGGACATTTTTTGGCCCCAAGGACGATAAAAAAAAGTTCCTATCGTAAGTGGGCAGCGAGGAGGTCATAGTGAACAACTGAACTGCGCACGCTGCCATATGAATCATTTCTCTCTTTTTTAATTATTCCATTATTGGCGCATGTGTCAGTCAACAGGTGCGTGAGCCGCCATTCACAGAGCAGCACGAGGGATTAAGCCTCGCTATCTAATTTCCTTCTGCCCGAATCTGCCACCGGCAATAATAGCCCTCGCGTGCAAAGTCTCCCAATCTAATATAACTAGGCGATAAGATCGTGGGATAGGAGGGGGGCGTTAAATGATGCTATTCAGAAACACATTGTCATCCCTTATCCATAGCTCATCCAGATAGATAGTTAAGCACATCTGCTCTTTTGTCTTAACGTGGGCCGCTGCGTAGAGGGTTATATCCCAAGAAAATCCCAGTTTGTAGGCAAGATGGATGTGTTCTTTATTAAAGATCCAACTTTACACTGTGTACTTGCTAATTGAGCTGCGTTAGACCCAGAACAGCATGTTTTCATAACTTTATGCCAAATGAACAAGCATCAGGACAGACCCCAGCACCAGTTTGAAGGGTATTATGATTTTGCATTTGAATAAAAAGCATGCTTGGCATCAGAAAAAGTTAAAGGGCATCACCGTTCAGCAGAAAAAGCTTCAGATTTTCGGCCAGCAACAGAGCGAGCATTGCACGCCATGGGCCGAAGTCAAGATCCTGTCCAAAGTTGACAGACCCTTCATTGCTCATTCAAGTCGGACACTTTGATCCTCATCTAAATTGCCAAATTTGCAGCAAAACATCAATAAATGATTTATTTAAAATCACCGGAGAAAACCAAATTCACAAAACAAAGTCTTGTTGTCCACTTACTACTGTACATAGGCTGCTACCTTTTAAAGCAGCTTCCTGACTGAATATTGCATAAGGTCTTTGAATACCATAAAGTCAACACTGCAACCACCGTTTGTCAACTTTACATTTACATTATGTAATGTTTTTAAAGCAATGTCAGCATGATGCTAAATGAATGATGTTAGAACTATTGTTTTAATTAGGATGAACTTTTTTAAATATATATTCCTGTATTAAAAACCACACACACACACACACACACACACATATATATATATATATTCTTGTGATGCAAAGCTGAATTTTCATAAGCCAATGATTTCTAAAGGATCATATGACACTGAAGACTGGAGTAATGACATCACAGAAATAAATTACATTTTAAAATAAATTAAAATACAAAAGCATTATTTTAAATTGTAGTAATATTTCACAGTTTTACAGTTTTTACTGTTTTTTATTAAATAAATGCAGCCTTAATGAGCAAAAGAGACTTCTTTAAAGAAACATTAAACATTATTTCTAATTGTAATAAAACATATATAATTGCAAAAAAAATTGTTTATGCATATATATATATATATATGTGTGTGTGTGTGTGTGTGTGTGTGTTTTATACTGGAAAGTATAATTGATTGATTAATAATAATAATAAAAAAATGTTATAATAAGCATTTCTTTCCACTCATCCACCATCTTGGATTTATTTTTTCACATCACTTGATGCAGTGCATATTAGGGTTGCCTGATCTGTGAAAAATGCCTGCAATGGAAAAAAAAACATGTTGTGTTAGTCTTCCATTTTGATATGGTTTTGATCTGGTATATATACATAAGTGCTGTGAGCGTCTGCATACGTGTCTTTGCAATCAAAAGCTCATCACATTTTTTAACAGTATTTCAACAAGCCTGACAGAAGGAGTTGCCATCTCTCAAACAACCATCATTGTTCTAATGGCGTTTGTGTGTTATTGGCTGTGATTGTGCTTTTTGGCCGATTAGGTTGACTGAGAAATGTAAATAATGTGCCACATTAATGTTCCACATCTGTGAAATACAGAAAGCTGTACAGCTCCAACTTCCTTTTCAAAGCAATTAAAGTGTTCTAGCTCAGTAATTTTTTTGAAGAAATGGCCCTTGCATTTATTACGGCAAGCCACTGGCTTAGTTATTAGACAGATATTAGATCCTGCAAATGGAAAACAGTCTGTCAGCTTTAATCGACAAGCTCGCAGGCTCTAATCTGCAGGAAAGTCATTTATTTCCATTTCCTCTTTAGTTGTTTTAGGAAAGGCTGTCGAACGAAACAGTTTCAAATCACATATAAGCCAGTTACATTTTCTTTCACTCATTGTATAAATCTGATTTATTGTGTCAGATTTGAAATCACACCGTGTTAATGGTGAATAGTGTGTAATTTATCCAAAGTTAAAATTCTCTCTTGCATCCCATTTTAATGTACAAACTATATGTAAGCCATTGTTAAAATGACACCTTTTAAATTGCTGCTAGTTGTGGAGAAATTACATACTTCACCTTTAATATTTAGCAATTTATTATTGTTATTTGTTTGTGTCCATTTTGATTCGTAGGAACTTGGTTGAAATCAGAGGACACTGTACCCTTGAAAACCAAGCGAGCAGACTTTGCCGCAGCCATAGTGCGAGGCAGAATGATCGTGGCGGGAGGTCTAGGTATGGAAGTTGCACCATAATAAATTTATCTACTGCACAGTTGCTGTCACGGTTGGTGTCATCCAAACATCTGCTCTCTTAATACAGGCCATCAGCCATCAGTGCTGGACACTGTTGAAGCCTTCCATCCCGAAAAAAGAAAATGGGAGAGGCTGTCGCCTATGGCGACGCCGCGTTGCTCTGCCTCCAGCATCGTGATCCGTGATCGCTTACTGGTAGTAGGAGGTGTCAATCAAGTCCCAAGCTCCGCCCACGAGATTCTATATGTAAAAGAGGAGGAGATTCTTTAACCATAGAACGTTAGGTTTACACATCAGAAAAAGTTGCCTTCCGTGATCAAGTAAAACACAAATTTTCACATTTACATTTCACGTTTACCATTACTTTGGGAAATTTTGCAAGCAAAATCCAATCTGCGCAATTGAGTGTTTTCACATGAAAGGTGAAAAAGTTCTCAGTTCAGTTGGCGCTGTTCAAGTTGGTCATGCAAATCTGCCACGCTGAGCAATAGAAATCTGCTTGGTTTGAAAGTGATTCTGTGTGAGCTGTGCTTCATACATATCTACCCTTTTGACAGTGGACCTTTTTTTGTGAAATTTTTGGGGCAAAATCCAGATCTGACCAATTGGGAGTTTCGCTTAAGGGCGAAACATTTTCCAGCACAGTTTTTGCTCTTGTTTAAAGGGGTCATATGGTGTTGCTAAAAAGAACATTATTTTGTGTATTTGGTGTAATGAAATGTGTTTATGCGGTTTAAGGTAAAAAAAACACATTATTTTCCACATACTGTACGTTATTGTTTCTCCTCTATGCCCTGCCTTTCTGAAACGCGTTGATTTTTACAAAGCTCATCGTTCTGAAAAGCGAGGTGTACGCTGATTTGCCTGCTAGTGCATTGAGATTGGCCGAATTCCTCAAGCGGGTGACGGAAATGTTACGCCCCTTACCATACTGTGATGCCGTGTCCTGGAGCGACGAGACAAAAACATTAAAACCCATTATAAACGAGGCATTTGTTGCATCCAATGGGGACATAATTATGGATTATAATGATAATATTATAAATACTCTCTTGCATCCCATTTTAATGTACAAACTATATGTAAGCCATTGTTAAAATGACACCTTTTAAATTGCTGCTAGTTGTGGAGAAATTACATACTTCACCTTTAATATTTAGCAATTTATTATTGTTATTTGTTTGTGTCCATTTTGATTCGTAGGAACTTGGTTGAAATCAGAGGACACTGTACCCTTGAAAACCAAGCGAGCAGACTTTGCCGCAGCCATAGTGCGAGGCAGAATGATCGTGGCGGGAGGTCTAGGTATGGAAGTTGCACCATAATAAATTTATCTACTGCACAGTTGCTGTCACGGTTGGTGTCATCCAAACATCTGCTCTCTTAATACAGGCCATCAGCCATCAGTGCTGGACACTGTCGAAGCCTTCCATCCCGAAAAAAGAAAATGGGAGAGGCTGTCGCCTATGGCGACGCCGCGTTGCTCTGCCTCCAGCATCGTGATCCGTGATCGCTTACTGGTAGTAGGAGGTGTCAATCAAGTCCCAAGCTCCGCCCACGAGATTCTATATGTAAAAGAGGAGGAGATTCTTTAACCATAGAACGTTAGGTTTACACATCAGAAAAAGTTGCCTTCCGTGATCAAGTAAATTTCACATTTACACATTTACATTTCACGTTTACCATTACTTTGGGAAATTTTGCAAGCAAAATCCAATCTGCGCAATTGAGCATGAAAGGTTGAAAGGTGAAAAAGTTCTCAGTTCAGTTGGCGCTGTTCAAGTTGGTCATGCAAATCTGCCACGCTGAGCAATAGAAATCTGCTTGGTTTGAAAGTGATTCTGTGTGAGCTGTGCTTCATACATATCTACCCTTTTGACAGTGGACCTTTTTTTGTGAAATTTTTGGGGCAAAATCCAGATCTGACCAATTGGGAGTTTCGCTTAAGGGCGAAACATTTTCCAGCACAGTTTTTTCTCTTGTTTAAAGGGGTCATATGGTGTTGCTAAAAAGAACATTATTTTGTGTATTTGGTGTAATGAAATGTGTTTATGCGGTTTAAGGTAAGCGTAAACATAAAACCATGTCTGCATTTGTGATCGGAGAAATGACAAACAACAAGCGCTACTCTACACTGCTCAAAACTCTCGTTTGAATCATCAGTGGCAAATTCTTTAAATATGAAAACGTACTTACAGTCTGTGAGTCAGAACAGCCGGCATTGTAGTCTACTCTCCCAGTCCTCCAAATATTTGAATATTTGGGTTGAAGTGTTCTGGAACAGTGTTGTAAAAACAACTTAACCACTGATTTCAAGTTGGATTATAATGATAATATTATAATATATACTGTCTTTTTACGCGTTACGTTGCATCGCGCCGCGTAAACGTACAACCATGTCTGCATTTGTGATCGGAGAAATGACAAACAACAAGCGCTACTCTACACTGCTCAAAACTCTCGTTTGAATCATCAGTGGCAAATTCTTTAAATATGAAAACGTACTTACAGTCTGTGAGTCAGAACAGCCGGCATTGTAGTCTACTCTCCCAGTCCTCCAAATATCTGAATATTTGGGTTGAAGTGTTCTGGAACAGTGTTGTAAAAACAACTTAACCACTGATTTCAAGTCTTAGAAGGGCGTGGACCCGTCTTAACTTTGATAAAGAATATCTCTTTGGGTTTGAGACTTTAGTCTTTGCAACTTTAGGGATCTTATCTATTCACAAACAGCTTGTAACACTCCAAAGAGAAAGGAAAACTTGAAATCGCATCATATGACCCCTTTAAGCAAATTCGCCAAGCTGACCAAGAGAAAGCTGCTTGGTTCATGTGGCGAATTCTCGTGAACAACTTGAATATGAGTGAAAACTGTGTGAGGAACTTTATCGTAACCAAGCAGTTTTCTGTTGTTCAACTTGGCATATTCACGTGACCAACTTGAACAGCGAGAATGCTGCCATGACAGTAGTTTAACTGAAACTGAAAAATGACTGTAGAAGACAATGTTTACAGTGATGCCTACTTTAGTGCCTCTTGTGGCAATGATAACATATTTCATACATTGATGCATGAAATCACTTACATACTCTACTTACATAGAGAATGTTTTGGGCTTAATGCCCAAGTGTCTAAGTGGGTGGTTCTTGCCCAAAATTAACTGCAATGTTGACTTTATGATATTCAAAGACGTTATGCAGTTTTTGCTCATTCACATTGGTCACACGAATTTGCCAAGCTGACTAATGAAAGCTACATGGTTCATGTGGCGAATTCTCATGACCAACTTGAACATGAGCGAAAACCGCGTGAGGAACTTTATCGTAACCAATCAGCGTTCTGTTGGTCAGCTCGGCGAATTCACGTGACCAACTTGAACAAGAGCGAAATCTGCACAGGGAACTTTTTCACCCTCATGCGAACCTCCCAGTCACACAGACTGGATTTCGCCCACAAAATGTTGCTATTGTGACTACACCTTAAAGCCTGAAATACACTCTACTCAAATACGCAAATATGAGAGCTTGCAGTGCATTGCAAATGCAGTAAGAGAGGCCGTAGTTTCCTTCAAACATCTGTCTTAAACCAAATTCAGGTAGCTAGCTACAAACATGTCAACAGTTTAAATGTAAAATATGTCATTTTTGCACCCCTAGTGCAAGATTCTCTTCAAACTGTTGCTCCGCCATGACAGTAGTTTAGCTGAAACAGAGCAATGACAGTAGAAGACAATGTTTACATTTATTGCCTACTATAGCGCCCCTTGTGGCAATGCTGACATATTTCATAATGTGATGATGCATGAAATCAAACTAGAGCTGGTGTTTAAGTACTTATGTAGAGTATGTTTTGGGCTTAATGTCAGCACAACAAGATTCTTGAATGCTAGACTGTTCAAATAAATAAGCTACACTATGTGACAAGGAATAACTAAAGCACATTGTACGGAACAACATGTATTTTAGTTCCACGAAGCTTGCTGTTAATGCCATTATTACAAAATGCACAGCAACGACAATCTGCCTTTTAAAGCCAACAGCACCAAACACCCACTGAATGATCTAAGCCAACAACATATGCACAAACACAGCTTCAGAAACGAAATAAGTGTTTGAAATAGAAACAGATTTAGCAGTCTCCCTATAACAGTGTATTGAGATATTTTAGGGTATTTACAGGGTTGCTAATTAATCTACTGCTGTTTTTAGCATGAAAATTTAGTAATACAGCAGGTCTTATTAATAAAGTGAAGTTTTAACTTTAGGATATTAATTGTGCATACCTCACTGCATTAGTTGTGTAGGAGGTGTTGTGTGAACAGATTTTGGTGGTTCGTATGGTGAATATTGATTATTTTTCACTGGTCAGTTTCATCCTTGTCAAAGGTAACTTGCACTGCTGTAGCACATACATGCAATCCTTTTTCTAAATGTTTACAGGGTCTTCAGCAATTTACAGTAGCATCAAGTACTTTGTCTTTAAAAACCCTCTGAAATCAGAAATATTGGGAGATTTGTGACCTTAAAACAAATTCAAGACAAGCCTTTCACAATGTCCTACCCCAACTAACTTTTTCAATAGGAAATACATCAAACAGGACTAAAAACTCCACTCCACACAGGATTTCATAGGGTTTTTAATACTACACTAATAAGATACTGAGTGTGTTTAAATGCACAATTCAGCTCATTCTAAAATCCCAGCAATGCAAGAAACACTTACATGAGATTTGAAATTATCGGTTTACATACAGTATGCACACACGAAATAAACCGCCAGGATTGTGGCTTTAACAGTTTATGACCTTCAGCTGATAAAAGAAAACCTCTTGTGTGCTTACATGACTTTACATGCTGCTGGGTTATTAAACATAATCAGCGTAGGACCGTGCAAGTAAACACACTCATTGTCAGTACAGAGTTCAGAGATGCAGTATTTTGAATAGAAATAAAGTTGAAAGCCTTTAGGGAAGTCATCACAGCTGTGGCCAATATCATTAAATGGTGTTTACTCTTTTCTATTATGAGGTTTTCACTTGGCCATTTGCTCTCATTTTGTTAGGATAATGTGTCTTGGATGCACATAGCAATAAAATGAAGCACTGTAATAAATGATTTTCTACAATGCTTGTACGTTTGTGGTTTTACCATTAAATGAACTTTGTCTCCTTCTCCGGTCTTTTTGCTTCCTCGTTTCTCGGTTCAAATGAACCACGGTACTCTTATCAGGGGGATGGGGGGAGTGCTGGACACTGTTTTCTCTTTTTATTTAATAATGTCAAATAGCGCCTCACTTACTCGAGTC